TTTCTCTATTTGCAGAGTGTACAAAACCAGTGTGTGGATTGTGTTCTGTTTGTCTGTGCTATCTGAATAACAAACATTCATGACTTTCTGCCCAGTGGTGTCAGGCACCTATAAAGATGAACTAGTAAAAGACAGAAAACACACACACAGAGAGAGAGAGAGAGAGAGAGAGAGAGAGAGAGAGAGAGAGAGGACAAACATCATCAGGCATTGATGACAAAACAGAATGTAAGAAGATACCTAGGCAGCAATCCCTTATTTGAGGGATAAGGTACAAATATACCTTATTTTAGACCCTTATAAAAATAAAGGTAATAGGAGGAAAGCAAAGAAGATAAAAGTTGAGATGGCCCAATGAGTTTGATTAAAAGTTGTCATCCTATTTGATGTGCTGGGGAAAAACCCTTTAAAATTGTAGCGATATCTGCAGATCCAGGATGCAACCACATTTGCTAAGTAGCAAGTCCCACTGAACACTGTGGGACTTGCACCTGAGTAAACATGCACTGTGTCTTTGGCTAGAAGCTAAAATATATCTGGCTACTTATTTAAATCTCTGCCAAGAGAGACTGCTCACGTTACAGTTTCCCTGCTTTAAATAATAACAACAACAACAACAACAGCAATATAAATAACAAGAATAAAGGAGTATTTACAAACACTCCAGGCCCTCCAATTGCTCAAATGACCCAGATCTTTAACACAAGGTTTGCCTCTGCCTAGAAACGAAGTGGCTTTTCTTCCTCTCATTCAGCTGCAAGTTCTGGGAAAAGCCCAAAGAGAAACATTTAGATCGGAGGGGCCTTTGAGAAGATGTGACAGTTGACTGATGAGCATCCATAAAATGACAAAGAATTGCTGTGTGGAGCCTATGCCTCACATCTCCTCACCCTGGGAAACTAATTGCTTTGAATTGTTAATAGTAACATTATTTTTCTGGCAATCATTTCTTTTGAATACTCAAAATGAGCATGAAACAGCTCCTTTGACTGGACATAAAAGTTAAATGTCCCAATGTTGATCAAATTAACTTCAGCAATGTTACAATGGACTATATTTGTGAGAAAATAATGAAGGTCACAAAGCAGGGCTTTATGCCAAGATTTCACAGTTGTAATGTAAAATAAAAAAAATGTTTCTGTTCAACTAGACCAAGCTACGTTTTTTCTTTAAAACAGAAGGGCACTGTCATGTTCGAAAAGGGGGGGGCACACACACCATTCCTCCCCCCCACTCTAAGTAACTTCAGGATGTTTCAGAGATTGGAACAACAAGAACACTCTCTGGCTGGTGTCTCAGCATCCTGGTTGCAACTATAATTTTTGCTGAATGTACCCAAATCCTTCAGTTCTTGCTTGGGTGAAAAGTGTCTTGGTTGAGTTCCTTCTCTCTCCGCTAGAATACAGATCTGATTCAAAATAGCAAAAGCTCTCTATGATTCAGGGGGAAATGCTAAGAATCGTAAATAGTAGCTATGCAACTTAGTGAAGAGCAAATTCTGTTTCCAAAGTGTCTTTCAAAAATTTAACGAGTAATTGTTTTTTTGTTAGGTCAGAAAAACGTAAGAACAGAGCGCGACAGAAAGCGTTTCCATGAGAAGCTTCTGAGGTTTGGTGCTGTTCTTACTATAAAGCTTTTAAATTGCTTTCCAACTGGTAAAGCTATATATATATATATATATATATATATATATATATATATATATGCTATGTGTCCACATTTAGCACTGAACAGCTAACAAAACCATTCTACAGCAGCTTTAAAAAATAATTAAAAGTGCACTATACACCTGCTCTGTTTTCCTTTTGGAAAATTTGATTCTCTTTATCAATGTACCAGCTTTTTCTCTGTGGTCATGATTTTCAGCAGTTTAAAACCCCCAAATGTTAAACTACATTATAACTACTTTATACAACATGTGCCTTTTTCTTCTTCTTTTTGGTAGGTTCAACTCTTTTTATCCACCCTATTCCCCCCCCCTTTAAAAGTTCATTTGCATTTGTTTCCTTTTTGCAAATAATTAAGACGGGAATGCAGCCTATGATGGTCACTTCAGTCTTGCATAAATTGCTGCTATTTAACTGGCTGTTCACACTGGCCAAGATGCGCCCAGCAGACAGGACTGCTTCACTTACTCCCACAGCGACTTAAATCAACTGTGAAAAGATGTTTCAGTTTCATTCAGTGAGGGGTTTAGCTCATTAAACTCTTTTCCTTCTCAGCATTGTTCCCGAAAGCTTGAACTGCAGTGGCTGTTAAATGCTCTTTAGCAGTTTAAAGGCTTTAGAGGAAAAGACTTATCAGCCTCTGGTTTTAACAGCACTAAATCTGCATTATTAGGGCATGCAGATAAGGGGATTTAAAGGCCTGCCTTGAAACCTTCTCTCTTCTGTGTTTATCTGGCACCGCCATTGCTCCTGTAGCTCAGCTGGAAATGTAGATCTATGAAGCTTTAAAGGGAGATTAAAAGCCAAGAAAAGAAGTAGTTTCTTTCCTATAGATACTCTCACTTTCCCCTTTCCTACTGTCTGAAGGAGTGATGGCAGACAATGGTCCAAGATGGTTCCCAAAACCTTCTGAATGGGGGCACTGTTGGTGGTAGCATTCATTCAAAGTGAGCTCCAGTGTATTGTCCTCCCCAATCAGCAGATCAGAATAGAGTTTGCTGGTGGCTGCCAAAAGGTTAGCAGTGCTGATGAAAGGGGTTTCCCATTATTCACTGCTCTTACAGAACTCCCCTTTTGTGCCGGGCAGCCCATCATTTCACTACGGAGGTCCGGATCTGCGGCTGGCTGCTTTCTCAAAATGAGCAATCTATGTGAATGTAAGCCCCCACAGTGGTAGTGCCACCTAACAAAATGGAGGGTTTTCTTCTTCTTCTTCTTCTTCTTTTCCTGAAAAGGCAGGAGAGCTGGGTCTGGTTTTGGCACTGTCACATTCTAATGATCTACCGCCATGACACCCTTGACCCGCGGTTAACACTGTTTAGCCCTCAATCTTGCTTGCCGAGGCATTTGTGGAGGGGTGTGTGTGTGTCTAAATGTCTCCAAAAGAGCTAAAAGGAAACACACAGTGCAAGTTAAAAACAACAACGCAAAAGCGCTTTACAGCTCTGTCAGGTCCTTTAGAGACCACAAGAAGAGATGGAGGAATAAACACCAGATGTAAAAAAAAGTATGAATAATTATTTCACCTCGAATAATATTAGCCTGAAGGAAGCCTAGCTAGTCAGGGCAATTAATAATATAATGTACATTATGAGGGGGGGAGGGGGGACAGACAGCCAATCATGGTCCAGATGTGGGCTACAGGCCAATTTCCGGTGGACCACCTAGTGCTTGCTGGTTGCTAGGATCTTTGCAAAGAATGCTGGACCAGGTGGATGTAAATCTCCTCCCGCAAAGCACTTCTTAAATTCTTAAGGAAGAGTTGCACTCACAGGATCACTTAACACAGATCTGGCTATGCCTGAACTGGTGTGAGAACCCGAGTATTCTTGCTCTGTTAATTTAGTAAGCACGGTGAAAAGATTGAAGCCAAACCACCCCATATTAGAATTAAAAATGACAACTACACTCGTCGAATTTCTAGTTCTGGGATTGTGTGAGGGGAAGAACTGTTTGTAGACTCCTTAACCAGAGAGGTTGGGGCATGCCAACCAAGGCAGTACATCAGTCTTCTACCAGACAACTCGTGTAAGCTATCCAAGCCTCATGCCAAATTCTATTTCTCTCTCTCTCTCTCTCTCTCTCTCTCTCTTTCTCTCTCTCACACACACATCCACGTTTGTTCTAGCTAGCAACGTCCTCCACCTTGCAGATGTGAAAAGGCAGGAAGAACTGGTCAGTGCTAAACATTTAGTTTACATTTAATACTAAGCTTTATAGAAGGTTTCTTAGCTTTGGGAGGGGAAAAGCAATCAGGGTTTCTAAGACTATTCTAAAAATTCTTGCATTTTCCTAGGTTGATGATCAGACACAATATGAACCAATGCGCAAAGCTGAGTTGTAACAAATATGCACTAACACAGCACTTTGAGTTACGCAAAGGTGACACAATTAGCAGCCGGAGATCAACCACAGATGCCCTAAGTGGCCTTCAGCAAATTAGCAGTCCATTCTCAGTTTCTTACCTATTATTAGTAATGATATTTGCAGACTACCCTTCAACTTGAGTTCTCTGGGCAACAAACATTTGGCCATACCAAATAAAGCACCAGAAATAAAACGATTAAACCCCTATAAAATGAGAAGAATAGTGCATGGCAACAAGAAGCAGAAAAGTGCTTGGTGTATGGAAGGCAGATTAAGATATATTGAAAATATTTAAGATATTACAGGATGCTGACAGAAATCCACAACCACCAACTTTAGAGTGTTTCCTACAAATTAATGGGATTTCCAAGGAAACTGTATCAGTAAGTGGGCTGCCGAAGCAGTACAAATGCTCTCTTTATACCTAATTTTCCAGCAACAGAGTAACTCACATGTTCCTCAGTTCATTGGCTTTTGGGGGGAAAGAAAATGAAATATGTATCTGGTAAGTTTGTTAATTCATAGGACTGGGCTGGCACATCTGCCCTGGTAGGGCCAGTAAGCTATTGCTGTGGCTCCGCCCCATCAGATGAGCTGCTCCTGGGACTGGAGGTTCTAGCCAATGGTAGTCCTACTCAGGAATACTATTGCCCTCCTCAGGACTACCTACTCAGTGAGTAGACCCACTGGAATTAAGAAACATGGCTAGCTTAGGTCCACTGCTTTCAATGGGTCTACTCTTGATTAAAACTCAGGAACAACCCTAGATATTTGGCGTTTCCACAGTTTGCAATTAAAAATAAAATAAATCCTCTGGTGCTTATTCACTGCTTGTTCTTCTAATCCCCTGGAGGTTGGCCACATTTCAAGACAAAGCCACAGCAACGATAATTACTTCGTATTTGGAACACAATGCAAAATGCAGGGCAATAAAAGAAGCTAAAAAAAAGAGTGTTGACAACCTACCTGTCAAGTACATAACTGAGGGCCTTATGCCTTATTCCTGAGTAAACCGACGGGCTTGTTTCCCAAGCAACTAAATTGGAAGCATCGTGGAAAAGATGGATGTTTACCAAGTCAAAGGCACTGTGACAAAAGGAGGAGAAGACTTGCTGAGAATAAAAGTAAGGACATAGGCAAGAGGGAAAGCATTTGATTTTACTGTACTACAATCTTGAGTGACTGCAGATCACGAGCTCTATTTTGAAACACAAGCAATGAAATCAGTTGAAATGAGTCTGCCGCTATATGCCTGATCTATATGCAAACCTCCGCCAGCGTTTCCATTTGTATGTGGATTTAAAACTCGTAAATATCTAGGGCGATATCAAATTGTGGCATCTCACTTGTGCAACTGATTTCCAATTGTGGCAATGGGACTGAACCTTCCTCCAGCCTCTTCTGGAGCCCCCACCCCCCACCCCACTGGAGTTGGGGACAAAGGGGAATCTGGTCATATCAACTGGCGTGACAGATCTTGCCCATTATATTACATTCTCACAAATATCAAACACCACCAAGTATTAAACTAGCATCCGAAACAGTGGACTGAACCTGGTTTGTGAGGGTCAGGTTCTGCTAACCGTAGTTTGCCATTACATCTAAATTTGGATTAAACATTAGTGTTCAATGTGAAATTATAAAGCAGGAAATGAAATGGTAAACCTATAGATGTTCATTCCAATATCTATCACCGCACAGTGGGATCCATTGATTTTATTATACGTTGGAATCTAAAGCATTTATGGCCCATATACAAAATCATGTTTTAAAAATGTGCAACGACTTAGGTGCCTGCCGCTTGGTGGGAAATGAAACTTTCCTGATTCTACTGGAAACTATACAAAATGCATTGCTTTTAAACAAACACCTTCCATTTTACATACCAGTCAGTAATACACCATCTAGTTCGTATGAAGCCTTTTCTGGACCACTTACACTGAAAAGCAAAACAAAATGCAATAGAAACACATTTAAAATACATTAAAACGAAAGGGGGAAAACAGAGTCAATCTTTCGGTTGGCTAAATAAAAAATTGGTTTATATACTTGTGCTGAGAGTATTGAAAATAATTTAAAAAACAAACAAACTCACATGCTGCAGCGCAACAATGTCAGTGACAGTTTAGGGCATATCTAAACATTACTTTGGAAACTAAAGCTCTTTTCACATGCTGTTTTGTGAAGTGGCAATGTGGGCAGAAAGGGGTTATGGGGCAGTGCTTCCAGCTCCCCCCGTTCTGCCATCCACACGGCGGAGACTAAGGTGTAGTCTTCCCCACCTCAGATTTCTTCTCTGCTGCATGGACTGCAGAGGTGAGGCAGAGAACAGAGCCACACATTGCCAGATGATGGCTGCAGCCCCTTTCTGTCATGTTGCCCCTTCACACAACTATTGCTATTATTGTTTTTGTTGTTATTGTTGCTTATTCAGTTTTTAAACCAGCCCTTCTGAAGGATCCCAGGACCAGATTATTATTATTTTAGTATTAAATATCTATACCACCCTTCATCTGAGGATCACAGGGGGCTTTACAATATAATTGTAGTTGTTCTGGCCATGATGGCCATATCAGCCACAGAAAGAAAACTACAACTCCCAACACCCTTGGCCATTGGCCATGCCATGTTGGCTGGAGTCAATGCACATTGTAGTCTAATGATATCTGGAGGACCATATGTTTATCCTTCTCACTTTAATTGGACAGTAACATATTTTGGACTGTGCTCTCAATGTATGAACAACAACAACAACAAAAAGTGCAGCTAAATATTTTTGTGGGCCTAACAGCAGTTGTTATTTTCTTAACAGCCATCTAAATTTCTTTCTTGTTAAACAGAAATAAAACACATATTTTAACACCCACATGGAAATTATAATGGTATCGAACCTTCTAAAAGAAACTGCAATCATCTTTGCATATATCATGACACTGCCACTCACAGTCACATCTTTCCTGAACAGCTGTCAATCATGGAGAAATGTCATCCCTTGTAAATTTTCCTTAAATATGAAGTAGCAACTATACTGGGAAAATAGAAACGCGCCAGGCCATTCTTTTTCCATAGGGCTCCAGAACCCAAGGCATCTATGGTGTGACATTCCATTCATCAAAGCAAGCTATGCTCCATTCCACCAACAAATCAATTTGTGACAAGCCGTGGTAGGGTTGGCATACAAAAAGAATTGTTTTCCATGTCTGTGAAAGGTGATCACAAATTTACTCCACTGGTAGAGAAACAGAATTAGGATGCAAACTGAAGACAGGGTTAGTTAGTTAGTTAGTTAGTTTAGAAAAGCCGCTTCCTGCCCAGCTCTATAGGCTCACAGTGGGTTCCAAGCAATGAAATATAGAAGAAGGACAAGAAGGAGGAGGAGGAGAAGGAGAAGGAGAAGCAGAAGGAGAAGAAGACGACGACTGTGGTTTGGACTCCAAGAAGTGCAAGCTAAATTCTGCTTGCACAATGTGGGTTTCCTGGTTCCTTATTTGAGTAGCTCAAAAGCTACTCTTGAGAGTCTGGAGACCTCCAGAAGATAGTGTGAGACTGAAGGGGGAATCAGTGGAAATTGGAATACCCCACATTGTGTGCTCAGGAGCACCTTAAACTAAGGGCTGGGACTCTCTAGATCTCACCTAATAAAAATATGTTGTCCATATAGCAAAACAACCCAGTTAACACACTTCACAAGCCTGTTGAAGAAGGAAGGCTTCTTCTTGAGTATTAATAGCAGGAAACTGTCCTGAACAAACATTCGTGGTGATATAAGACCTGCTGCATCGTGACGTGACATGGGTGTTGAGGTTATGCCTGAAAAGTCTCTCACTGTTATTTGTCATGGCCATTTTATGATCTTTAGCTACAGTCACCTTGTGTGGGACAAAAACAGATCAGCTGACAAACAATTGTGAGAAATCACTCCGGATTTCTTCTTCTTTTTGATGAAGAGACATTGGTTCAATCTGTCAACTTTCTAATCAGCTTTAAGAATAAAAATAAAAATGCTCCTTTAGTGGCTAGTGAAAATGCCCCAGTGGATTCTGTTAATATACCAAACTGGAGCTGAGCCTGCTTGTGAATGAGCAAATCAACATACAAACCATGCATTGCAACTGGTAGATGTATCAGAGATGGCCATGTTTTGTCAGCACATTCTCTTCAAGGCAAGACTGGGTTATAGAACCTTTCACTCTGACAAAGGTTGTGTCCATCCTTTCCTGGGATATCTCTGAGAAAAAGGACCAGTGTACACTTGCCCCATGGATGTTAGGGGCAATCCTAAGCAAAGGGCTATCCAAGCAAAGTCACAATCAGGAAGTGGGCATTTAAACAGATTTAGTCAGCCAACATGAAGGGTGTGAGAAGTAGAGAGAGACAGAGAAACGTGATGTGTATTTTGAACAAGTTCCTTTTTCATCAAACGCCAGTGAGCTTGGAAAGCACTTTGGCATACTATTCCTGTAGATTTCTTCACTCTTCTCAAAACCTATATGACTAACAGTTGTTACTTCTTGTAATTTTGCTTTCATAACACTGCTGCTGACAGAATTGAAAAACAAGAAAAAACCCCCACACAAATACAGGTTTCTGTTTTTGTTGTTGTTCAGCAAAAGCAAATTGCACAATGATTTATTTTCCATCATCTTTTATTCATAGATTGAATCATGTCTACGTAAGATTTGGCTCAGATGCCTTCCTCCACAACGGGACGTGATATTTTGATCAAGAACACGCTATTTTTTATCTATTGCACTTATAAACCACTTTTCTGTGTGTAGGGCCCAAAGTGGTCTACAACAACAATGACATAACCAATAATATAACCAACACAATGCTGGTTATGTTGATCTGGGTCATATATTAAATCTAACTCTGCATGTCTGACTGATAAAAATTAAGGCAGGGACTCAGCAGAATAAATTTCTAATGTGAAATACTGAGAAGCAATTAGTAATTTGCCCTTGACCTAAAACCCTCCTAAAAGTAAACTATTGCCATGAAGTGGTATTTCAAGAGATTTGGGGTTCTTTACACATAAAATTATTCCTAGTTTTGCACACAAAAAACAGCCAAAGAGCAAGTGTTGCTCCTACTCAGAGCAATACACAGAGGAAAAGGGTAATATTTTTGGCAAGCATTTTTTTATATTGTAGTCCTGTTGTGGCTATGTAATGGTGAGCTGACTGTTTCATTGCTTTGATGCATCACAGATAACTGGTGAGATCAGCATTTATGTTGTGGACCATTTATGAAACCTGATTGTGACGGGACTGGATCTATTTGGACATTAGCTTCACATGGGTGTAGCTGTGTAGACCTGGAGAGTCTGCTGTGCCATTGGCCTCACTCCCAGCACCCATGCTTTGGCGGGGGGAGGTCAGAAGAGGAGAGACAGCTCTTCATATGTAGGTTCCATTCACGAACAAGAACCCTAATTGATGGGCCTTAGCGGTCTACAAGAGGAGTGGGAAGACATTAGGCAGTGTATTCCAACTTCTTATCCAGTTCCCCAATGTTCTGGAAGGAAGGAAGGAGGGAAGGAAGGAGGGACAGAAGGAGCTTTCTGTATTACATCAGCACTAAGACACTGGAGAAGGAAGCTTGTAACAGAGAATGAAATTAGCACTACTAAGGCAGTCTGGCTTCACAGAAGCATAAAGCAACCTCTTTCCCATCTCCCAGAAGGGGAAAGATGTACATAGGTCTCCGTGGCTAAATGAATAGGAAAGAATGCACATCAGGAGACTCGCTAACATACAAAAAAAGAAAGAAGGAAGGAAGGAAGCACCTCTCCATTAAATAAAAGAAATGATAAGGTGATTACATAAACCATTGCAGGTCTGCGGGGAGGGGACTAAAAAATACAGAGTGTTTTAATGTGTGGGTTCTCTTATGTACATGTTTTTTTGACACAGAAAAAAATGACTGCCTATAAAAGCAGCAGGAAAGTGCAGCAATAGCCATCCCTCATGAATAATCAGAAAAAAGCAAAAGGGAAGCCATATTTTGGGCATTCTCCTTGATGTGATTACGAACGGTATGAGGTGGAGAGCACAGCCATGTTGGGGCAAAGACTTCTGGAGGGGAAAACCGACCTTCCATGTGTAGCCTGCTGCCGCCAATGATTTACAACCCGGGATGCACAGGGCCCTAAATCACAAGGGTACCTTTGCATGTAGAGCAAGCTTCACTCATGACCGCCCCCTGGGGGCAGGGTGATGGAGCTGTAAGGGTTCAGTGGTGGTGGGACCAAATGAGCGAGGGCCTGCTCTCCCTCTTGCATAATGGTTAAACATGGGAGGGGTACATGGAGGAGAATGCAGTAGAGCCAATCTATGAAAGAACTGCAATACAGAATGGGGAAAGCCTGTGCAACCCTGTCTATTATGGAAGTTGAGAAGTACTAAACGATTCTACATATTAAACACCTTTAATAGCATGCGTTGGTATCAGATGGATCCTTCTGGAAAGAAAGGCCAGCAACATAAATAACCCCGAGTTGTTAAAAAGTAAAAAGGGATGTCCAGGAAACATTAACGTGACAAGCATCACCAGGACCAATAAGTAATGCACACAAGCCATGCTAGATAATGAGTAGCACAGCGTCCTAATTCATCTTTTCACCATCATTTTACTGAAAGGAGCCAAATCAATTTACAGCAGTGACCCAGCAGGGGTTCACTCAACCATACCAGGCAGGAGAGATAAAAGAAAGATGTTTTGAAGTGACAGTGGCAGTAATCTGATTCCTGCTTCTGAAGAAGTGTAACTGGAACAGTAGACACCTTAAGATTAGGCCCATCGGAGGCTGTATTCTGAGCAGTGAGACTGGGGAACAATTAACAGTGTCGCAAATTTATGCTCATTGAGGTATTCTGCACTGTGATGAATTTAGTAGCGCTAACAAGCCCTCCATGGTCATGGCAGTGCATTATCACACGTGCGTCCCATAGCCCATGGGCGGCAAATGTAGTGCCTTCTAGATGTTCTAGTCTACAACCGTCATCATTCCCAGACCAATGGTCATGGACAATGAGGTCACCACATCTGAAAGGCACTACGTTGGCGACCCCTGCTAGACGCAACTCAGTCCCACCATTACTCCTTTAAAGCAGGAGAGGGTAACTTGCGACTCTTTACATATTGTTAGACTCCAGCTGCCACCTGTTCCAGTCTGCATGGCCAAATGTCAGGGACACTGGGAACTGTAGTCCAAAAGCAAAGCGAAAGCTTCCTGGGAAGCCTCGTCTCTCCTTATGCGTCACCTTGCTAACAACTCCAAGAAGACGGACAGATGGTGTGGATCAGTACAGAGACTGATCAGCTGGCCTCTGCTCCTCCTTGAAGAAGAACGCTCTTCCTCCAAGAAGACCACCATGAAAGCAGGCTTTCCTACTAGTGCATATGAATTCCGCCATTGAGCAGAACTCCATATGTTAAAAATTAAGGTCTTGCTTTCCTAAAGGCAAGGTGCTTCATACTGGTGAATGGAAAGTATATTTCAGTTCCTAATTAAAAAACCATTCTTCTTTCCAAGACTCAAAAGACCCTAACACTGCAAATTATGATGACCACTAAGAACCTGCATCAATTTCATATCACTTTGTGTTCACACCAGTCTTCTAATGTATCATTTATGTTATTTTTGTCATTGTGGGGTGGTGGTCAGCCCTTCCACCACCCCTCAACTGAGTTAAGCCAGAAGTTGTGGGGTGACTGAAGAAGACAGTAGTGGCAAAGAATGCTAAAAATGGCAGAGATGTTTATCCTTGCATTTCTAGACTCCCTAGCAGCAGTAGATAGAAGCTCTAAAACAGGCTTAGAAACATCTGTTGCTTTAAGAAATCCTGGCAAATCTGTAGTTTTAAATCTGTTCCAAGATTCACATTGCAAGCAAAAGTTTGAGTAGGGGTGTATGTCTGGTACTGAACCATTAGAAGCCAAGCCTTTTGGGGGGTGGGGGCTTGAGCTTAGCTGATCATGGGATCGAACAGGGGAAGAACTCTCAAATTTGCCATTTCAACCCACTGAGATACTCACGTAGTGATCCATCTCAGAAAAGAGGACGCCTGTATCTAGAGAAGCACCAAACGTCAAAACTGTTCAGGATTATCTGTGTTCTTCAGCGATGTTTTATCTGGATTTTAGAATATAGCAACTCCACACCCCAAGAAATGAGTTTGGCATCTTTCATCTTACACAATATTAAGTCTCTCCCTAGTTTTCCTGTTAATAAGATTCCTTTAGCCAGCCGACGGATTGTGAATACAGGCAGTTTCATCTACTAAAAGACAGCATAAATCATCATTGAGAAAGGAGAGACTGTGGTAAGGTTATCACCATACAGCCTTCTCCATGAAAGGTTTGCATTAAAGCATTAGTGAAATTAATTCATCTTTCACAAGAGCTTTGAGCAGTATCGGTGATCTATGATAACAACCAATTTCTCACTATGGAGGGGGGGAAATTACTCAGCCCTGATAGACTACACAAATCTGCTTTTTAAAAATGACCTAACATTATCTGGAGTGTTGCTCCCAAAGGCATCGTTTGAGATTCATGCACAGCCAAGAGAAGCCATAAATCAGCAGAGAAAGTTTTGTTACTTTTATATGCAGTGGGCTGTAATTATTTTGAATTGCATTATGCCTCAATCATTGTAATTACTTTTAGATCATCCTTAAGCGGCAGTAATAAAAAGAAAAGAAATCAGTCTTAAACCAAGGGCAAACTACCCCACCCGCAAAAAAAAAAAAAAAAAAAAAGGAACATAAATGTTACATTAGAAGCCTGGAGGTAAACACACAGCAATGTAAAGTCGATGCAAATTTTCCCTGAAAAATTCAGTGTGCAAAGTAGCCACCCTTGCCTTGGGGCTTCACACACAAATGTGCCCAAGGGGTGGGGCCAGCTGCAAAGAGTATATGAGGAAGTCAGTTGTGGGACTGCTGGGGGAGAGAGGGATGGAGGGGTGATGGTGGGGAGTGAGTAGGCTTCCTGAAATGCTACCCATCAGGAAAAATGGAAGGGCTGAGTTGGTTGTGCAGGTTGCTGGAGGAGCGTGGTAGACCGAAAGGGCTGGTTGGTCCATGCAGGAGCCAGGCTATTATCCCACTGAGGCGGTACAGTGGTGCCTCGGGTTAAGAACTTAATTCATTCTGGAGGTCTGTTCTTAATCTGAAGCACCACTTTAGCTAATGGGGCCTCCCACTGCCACCGTGCCACCAGAGCACGATTTCTGTTTTCATCCTGAAGCAAAGTTCTTAACCGGAGGTACTATTTCTGGGTTAGTGGAGTCTGTATCCTGAAGCGTTTGTAACCTGAAGCGTATGTAACCTGAGGTACCACTGTACTCAGCTTTGCCTGAGTGTGGGGGCTCTTCCCCATCTTTCCTAATATGGATTGCAACCTGGATTCAAACTATGGACCTCCAGCATGAGCTGTTTTATCCAGCTGATCCCCCCCCATGAGCCTTTGTGCCTGGTATGTGACTGGATGTTGGGGGCTGCCCATTGATGTTCTGACTTTGAGTCTTTTGCCATGATTGGGGTTTTCCCCCCCTGGAAATGCAAATGATGAATCAATATGATGCAGGGCCAACTAGGCTCAGTAGATTGTCACCTTGTTGCACCACCATTATTTGTGACCTTGTTCCCTTAGCCCTATACAAATTTTCATTCCTGGTCGGCATGTTCTACAAGAACATTACCTGTGGCTTCAACTTAACTTCTCTCTGCCTCTTCATTCTTTACACTCCTGTGCTTCTCCATCTCTTTGTCACCTGGGCTGGTTCTAAAAAGACTACACCTGAATGACTCTTGCCCATTGGTGAATCAGCTGGCTATTCTTTCTTGACCTCATGCTTGACCTTACTTAATTATGTCAGTCTCCTCACTACAGCAGACATAGTAAGTTTATCTAAAAGAATATGGGTCAATTGTCTACCAGTGGATGTGCTGGTGACCATGCAAGAATATTTTGCTTCCGAGTGAAACCATGGGCAGAATTACAAGTCCATAATTCAAGAATGGCTCCAACCAGGTCACTAGCACAAACAAGATCATAACCAAGCGCTTCACTCTTGCCTATAAAACTTTCTGACAGTAAGAGCTGTTCGGCAGCAGAACAGACTCCCACAAGAGGTGGTGGACTCTCTCTCCTTGGAGATTTTTAAGCAGAAGTTGGATGGCCACCTGTAATGGGTACTTTAGCTGAGATTCCTGCATTGCAGGGGGTTGGAATAGATGACCCTCGGGGTCCCTTCCAGCGCTAAGATTCTATGATTCTATACTTACCTCAGGGAAATAGTCCTGTGGGAACTTTTCTTTTTCCAGCATAGGTGTACTTTCTAATGTATCTGAGTAGATTTCCTTCCCCGTAACTTTTTTGTACTTCTTAGCTAGGAAGAAACAAGGAGCATTTAGAATACCTCTGCCTCTTTCCAGTACGTTTCCCATCACAATTCAAAGTATTGGTGCTGACCTTTAAAGCCCTAAATGGCCTCAGCCCAGTATACCTGAAGGTGCGTCTCCACCCCCATCGTTCTACCTGGACACTGAGGTCCAGCGCCGAGGGCCTTCTGGCGGGTCCCTCACTGCGAGAAGCCAAGTTACAGGGAACCAGGCAGAGGGCCTTCTTGGTAGTGGCGCCCGCCCTGTGGAACGCCCTCCCACCAGATGTCAAAGAGAACAACAACTACCAGACTTTTAGAAGACATCTGAAGGCAGCCCTGTTTAGGGAAGCTTTTAATGTTTAACAGATTATTGTATTTTAACATTCTGTTGGAAGCCGCCCAGGGTGGCTGGGGAAACCCAGCCAGATGGGCCGGGTATAAATAATAAATTATTATTATTGTTACTACCTCTGCAAAGAGGTTTTAACACACACAACAGAAGAAAAAACGCAGACATAAATACTAGATTTTGTTGCTACTGACAATTAATACCAAGTGAAGGTCTCAGAAGTTTTTGCTCAACTGATGTACAGCTGACACTCATGTTGTAAGAACTGTCCATGGTGAGGAAATTCATGTTCTCCATTTCATACTGATGTAGAGGGGTATATAGCTAAACTACTCATTCTCTCATACCATGATCTGAAAGATGCCATGCATTTATACCTGTAGTGTGCTACAACTTGTTCGTTGCTAGCTCCGAGATTTCAAAAAAATGAAAACCAACTGTTTTGAGGGGAGTAAAAAGAAAATTCCGAGATAACAGTGCTTTTGCATCTGGGAATGCCAGATAGCAGAGGTCATTATACGCTACATGTTACATTGTAAACTATATGAAAATCCAAGGGCAAAAAATTTAAAGAAATTCTTCCAGCTGATTGTCACTCATAGGATCACGGGGGGGAAATTAAACATCTGTTGTCTAGCATGGCTAAGACTGCTAAGTTCAACACAGCTAAAAGTTTCCCAGCACAGGAAAAACCATGAGACAAGCCTTCTGAGAGATGTGCCATAAAGTGCACGTATGTTTTATGAGTTTTACTATGCTGTGTTTTTAAATCTTTGCTTGCTTGCTAAAATTTGTTTGACTGATTTGTTTTTTGGCTATAAACCGTATACGTTTGACCAATAACATTTTGATGACGCTAATGACAGAGGTGGTTTTAGGGTAGCGTGATCGGTGCTGTGCTGCAGGGGGCACAAAAGCAATGTTTTAGAATGGAGCGCAGTAGGCAGCAGGGGCAGAATTTTAGTGCTGCACAAAGGGCACCGCCAAAATTTGAAAGACCAAAGACCAGCGCTGAGGATGATGCTGGGATGACGTTTGTCACTGGTCACCCTCTATAGAGCACCTTGAGATCCATGGAGGAAAGGTAAGACATAAATGTCATTAAATAATAAATAAATTGCAGTAAGGTGAAGGTTGAATTTGGTGATGGAAGCAATCAGGTACAAAATCCAGACTTAGCATTAAAACGTAAGTGCATGTATCGGGCAGCTTCACAATTGACTTGATTAAGAGTGACCCGTATTATTGTTCAGCACCCATTAAACTGTTACAGGTGGAGAGACTGAGCAGACAGGCAAGTTAATCTCTCATTAACAAGTTCTCATATCAATGCTGCAATTTACATTGCCCCCTTTTTCAGGGATAAAAATATGCTACTATGAATCCTTTGCGTTATGTCTCGGGTTTTACTTTCACATCAAAAGGATGATGAGGATTTATGACCACTAAACCTTGAAACGCAACACTCACAGAACGGCTGTTTCCAATCCTTCACTGAAGACAGGCCTCTGCCTTCCCTACCCTCAATTACAAGAAAGCGGGCAATCTATCTTGGGTTACAACAAGAATAATGAAATTGAGACAATTGAGACAATTAGTTCACTTACAATTTCAATGATGTTTCAAATAAATGTGGTGCAAAAACGTAGAATGAATGTGACCTGTCTCAATAAGCTAAATGAAGCTTTTGATATATATATTTTAATATATATTAAAGTGAGAGAGCAGGCAACTTTCAAAACGTTGGGAATCACAGGAATACATTGGTGAGAGGACCAGGATTGGCCACAGCTTCTTGTCAAGTGTGCATTGAGAGGTAAACTTGGGCTTGCCCCGTGTAAAGTGTGAAAATAGTCCTGGAAAAGTAATGTAGGCTGCTCCTTCTAATATGAGCAGAACAGAACACTGCAATTCTGAACATTTCTATTCAGAGGTAAGCCTCACAGACTTAATTCCAGATAAGTGAATATTGTAGCTTCCACTTACCTTTAAAGTCAAATTGATAAATGTTTTTCAAGGATTCATGTAGAAAGTAAAAGCTTCCCAGTGCCTGTAAGAAAAGAGAAACCAAGTCAGCAAAACATAAAGAGACCACCCCCAAAAGTTTGAAACCTGAAATATTATAAGTGTACAGAAAGACATAAAATCAATAAACTAAAAAATAAAATAAAATAAATTCCTTTTGGTGTTTAAAGGCAGTATGATCCTTCAGAATTCATTGACTACTAATTGGCACATGCAACTGGCAACAAAAACACGATTATACAACATACTTAAATATGCACCAAAAAACCCTTAAGGATTTCTAGGAGCTCATTGTTGAGAAGAAGCAGCGCCCAGGTAGCCGTATTATAGTCCTGGATATCTGGAGGAAGTGTTGAAGTGTATAAACCTGACTATAAGGAAAAAAAATATTCTTTTGAATTCTATAACTATCATATGGAAGTGGACAACTGGACAATGAAAATGTGCCCTAACTATGGCCAAAAAAACTGGTATTGATGAATTGGAAGAACAAAACTATGGTTTCCTTTAACCAATGGATTGAAGACACGACAACATATGCAACATATGAATGGATTGCTTATAGACACAGACTTTTTTTGGGTAAATATACTGATATTTGGAATGAGTTTATACAGAATATAGGAGGTTATTATTAATCATTATTAGCATAGATAATAACATTTATATATCACCATTTTTGCATTATGTTTCTTCTCTTTCTACCCCCCTCTCCTTTTTTGGTCCGGTGCTTTGGCGCGAGTCAGGCAGGAAGTTCCACAAATGTGATGTCACCACAGAGAAGGCCCTGCCTCGTGTCAAACAACAGTTTGGCAAATTCATCCAAAATCCTCAGGCGGATTCCTCACACGACAGTTCATTCTCTCCCCACCCCAACTCTCTTTTGGGTGAAAATTGGCACTGCAACAGCTTTGACAGAACAGGATCTATTGATGATCAGGTTATTACTTCCCTATTCCCTTTGGTAGCATCTTAAATTTTGCAGGAAAAACACCACCACCACCAGAGTGATGCAATTGCAGAATAGACAAAAGCCTGAGCATAGGAATTCTCGCTATGTGAATGAGTGCTAATATCAAATAAATCTCTGCAAGGAGGAGCCCTTCAAGAACATTGCTATTTAAAAAATTATCACTGTGATTCCTGGGACGTTAAAGGCCAGAGTATCATTAGTGTATAACCAGTAAGCAGCAGCTGCCTTTTATTAATTGCTAATGAAATTCTATTAAGATATTAAATATTCGGTGTCAGCCTTTTTATCTTGTACTACATTCTTCTTTTGTTACCATTCCGTCAATCTGCCCTTCTTCAGAATGGTTAACCTTGGAAGAGTCCTCCTTAAGAACGCCTGCTACTTATTTGCCTCCTCCGTGTATAAATGCATAATAATAAAAAATAGGACGAATAATAATAATAAAAACCTGGCGCAGGCTGCCTGGGTCACCAGAAAGTGTACTCATCAATTAAAAGTGTGACAGTGTTTTCCGTTGGATGAACTAATATGTCAAGGAGATGGGCAGGACCCTCATGTTTGTGCTTTTGACAAATCAGCAAATGTTTAATCTCTAGATGTGCAGCTTCTCATAAATAATGCAGCAATCAGTGAGCCAAAACTCTGCCTCTTCCAGAAGGGTGTCCCTGTCTTCCCACTCCCAAGATTTCTTCTCTTTGCTCATTCCCCCCCGCCCCTTAAGTCTAAAATAAAAACCACATCGTCCTCTGGGTTGAAAGCATCACTCTCTTCCCTGCACATATCCCATCAGCACTGTGTCCATAAATCCGTGAGAGAGGTTAGTGGAGAAGCACATGCTCTGTGGTCCCCAATCCCTGTCCATCTCAGGTAGCGGGAAAAGCTCACAGCTGGGATCTTGAAGGCTTTCTGCCTAACTCCAACCCAAAACATTTCTTTTATCTCTAAATAAGTTCTACTCAGAGTAATCCCACTGAAATGAATGAACCTACGTTTAGTCACGTATATTCACTTCAATTGGTCTACTCTGAAAGGGCTTAGCATTGGATACAACCCTTTGTCGCCTTGAAGCGGAACCCAAAAAGTGTTTGCCCCTCTCCACACTAGGACCAACAGAAATCTCCTCTCATCATCAATTCCTGACTATTCCTATTACCTCACCCGCTTCATAGTGGGGCCTGGTGCAAGAAACTTCACCTTGTTGGAGGGCAGGGTTCAATCCTGTTTCTGCCAGTCAGAATACAGTTGTACCTCCCCTTACGTATCCCTCCACTTGCGTTAACTTCGGAACACGTAAGTGGCAAACCCGGAAGTATATTTCTGGGTTTTTGCCGTGTGCACACGTGCAGAAGCACTCTACTGCCGTGCGTGCGCAGAAGCGGTCTCTCTGGTTGCGAAAACCTCGGGATCCGGCCGGACCTCCGGAACGGATCCCGTCCACAACCGGAGGTACCACTGTACAGGGTTTGATGGACCAGTGGCCTGATTCAGTATAAAGCAGCATCACGCAAGTTTAGAAGCTACTAAAAAATTCCTGATTGCGTAGGACCCAGAAGTTTAGCTCAAAAAACTGCTTAAAAACTGTATGTGTATTAGGAGGAGTTCACAGTAAAATACAATAGATTTTCATGAGGACTTAATAAACACAAACTGATGTGGAAATTTGGAAACTTGAAGAAGAAGAAGAAGAAGAGAAACCAAAGTTGACAGATTCACCCAACTTCACACGGAAAGACTGAAACAGAACTTTCTAAGTTCTGTCGCAAAAAACAAAAGCCTTTGCCAATAGCACATTGGGCTTATTTACAAACAATACCCCCCCTTTTAATTACTATTATTTTCTAGTGCCAGTTTAAGGTCTGGATTCTTCTTCTTCTTTTGTTTTTCAACATCTGAGTGAAACACATTTATTTCGATATAACTCTCATGAACTTTCAAGTATGGTTGACAGATATTGAATTTCAGTTTTTATGAGACAATTCCATTCTGCTGAATTGGCATTATCGTTTCTAAGCTCCTTAATCACATTTCTCAAAATATACAGTTGCCACAATTTCTTAGCAGAGAGGAGCTGGAAGAGCCCCATCATTTGCAGAGTTTTATCAATCGAGGAAGCAGATTTACTTGGTATGCATGGATTTGCTCTCTCCAATGAAACAGAGCAGCCCATATGTAAGTGTTGGCATGGTACTATGGAATATGGACTCTACCATAGATATATGGTAAAGTAGTACATATATCCACACAGACATGAAACCCATGGGAACTCACCTGGACCCTGGGATCAGCATCTGAGGCCCTTCTTCATATGAATCTTCCATGAGAGATCTGGATGGTGGCAACACAAGAAAGGGCCTTTTCTGCAGTAACTCCCCATTTGTGGAATGCTCTCCTCAGGGAGGTTCACCGGGTGCATTACATATCTGGGCTGAGGTGTTGTCGGGGGAGGGGGTTGTTTCTGCTGGATTTTTCTATCTTTATTTAGATTTTGTTTTGATTTATGTGGAAATTGTTTTGCATTTTTAATGTTTTATTTATTTATGACTTTTTCTCATGTTGTAGTTTGATACCTATTTTTTCAAAGCTGCCTTGAGCATGGCTTGAACTGTGAGAAGGCAGCATATAAACAAAATTATATGTGTCTATATATCTTTAGGCTGCAGGCAAAAACATTCCTCTTCTCCAAGACCTTTGGCTAATAAACAATCTATGGCCTTTTAAACAGTGTGTGTGTTGTTTTGTTTATTTTTATATTATGTATGTTTGTGTTTTTATATTATGAACCACCCCGTGATCCTCAGATGAAGGTTGGTATAAATTTAATAATAATAATAACGACAACAATACACGTATCTGAGCAGCAATCAGTATTTACACAGAGCATTCCAACAGTAATATGCTGGAGTTCATTCGGTCGTCCAATTAAGCTCAAAGGAAATTTTCAGCATGGCAAGCATATTTTGATACTATTTTGCAGGGGTGGGGAATCCATAGCTAATAACTGCCATACCAATAATGACTTTTACGATATGGAAATGTTATTCTGATAAAATATGAAAATATCTATGAAGTCTAAAGGCAACCGTGTCTACTTAATTGTTAATTAGATGCTGATCTATGGGTCATTTCACTTGTGCAAATTTAACAACTACACGGAAGTACTTAAAGTAAAACGTTTAAATAATCACCACGGAGAGTAAACATTCACCGCACACAACCCTCATTGAACGTGCTAAAGCTAATATTGCAATTATGAAGAGTGCCTTAAATAAATGTAAAATAAATTGCCAATGGCGACTCAGAAAGTGTAATTCATGTAGTCATAAAATCCATAATTAGCTCTAATGAATATTTAAAGTCAAAGTGCAACTTAACTTTTTCAATGTTTAACCTACTATATCAATATAGCTCAAGGAATCCATTTGTCATGGAAAATGACAGCATCTGAATATTAATTAGCATAGGTCACTGCTGACAGGAAGTCCTTATCTCTTGCCAGTCCTTTTGACTATAGCGTGTGTCACCAGTATGTTTGTCACGTCTGATATTATTGATTACCTGCCTTTTTGGCCAAAAACAATTAAAAGAGGAGGTTTTTTTTGTTTTTGTTTTTTTTACATATTTATAAACCTGACTGTCGAGAGCACTTATTTTTCCATTAGAAAAATGTAGTCTATTAGCTGCCATATTTCAGTTTGAAGAGCAACGGCAAATGAGGAGCCACAATAACTCTGGTTATCATGACAACATTTTTACATAAAAGCATTCATTTACTGGTTAGTGGTTTCTTTTCTTTTCTTCTTTTTAAAGGATCTTTCGTTGCATCCTTTTGTGTTGCAAGGTACTGGGAAGGATATAAATGGGCCACCGTTATTAGACATAACCCATTTTCAAAGCTAATTTGAAGGCTGGGTGGGTTGCTTGTGTTCCTTAACAGCTTCATTTCGATGCAAATGGAATACATTTAGTTTTCACTTATAATTAAAAGCGCAGGAAGATGCTGCTCCATATCCTCCTGTTCCCACCACCCTCCTGAACTATGGGTGGGTAAGGCG